TTGAACCGCCAGCCTTCTGGTTAGCAGTCAAGTGCCTTAGGCACTATGCTACCAGAGCTCCTAACGGTTTAAATAGAGGAATGAATTAAGGCATTTTAGGAATGCAGTTGGCAGATTTGTGCATGAGGGTGTGGAGTGGGGAGAGACTAGAAGACAGTGGTGAACTGAGAAGCTATTGAAGTCATAAAAATGAAGATAATGAGGTAGGAGAAGGGAAAGGGCATGAGGAGCTGAATTGGCAGGTGCACTGGGGACTTGTCCCCTAGAACGTCATCTCCAGGGACAGAGCAAGCAGATGTTCAAGAGGCACAGGTGGCCCTCTGGACATAACCTCAGCAGTCATGCCCAGGCTTAGCATTGGCAGTCCCCTTCCTGCACGTGCCTCATCACTCCCCCATTACAGTTTTGTTCCTTTGGATTTTAAAGGTAAGAGGGCTTAAGTGGAGAAAATGAGATTCATCTCATAAGTCATGTTTGGTTTGCATCACACAGGTTAGCCTCCAACTTTAGAAGAAAGACCTTTTAGAAAGGCCAGTCCTCCAGGTTTCTCTACATGCTCTGGTTACACATTTAAAACATACCCCTATATTTGTCCTTTTGCATTTTCCTTCCAGAATGTTCTTCTTCTCCAGAAAAGTTTTGGTAGTTGATATTATAAGAGAAGTTGTCTCTGTTTGTGTATTTGTTCCTTGTTTTTACAGTTTCCCTTTCTCCTATTTTTGATAGGTCTGCCTGGTGACAGGGGTGATCCAGGAGACACAGGTACCCCTGGCCCTGTGGGCATGAAAGGACTTCCTGGTGATAGAGGGAACACTGGCTTAGTGGGTGAGAGAGGTCATCCTGGAAACCCTGGATTCAAAGGAATAGATGGAATGCCTGGTATCCCTGGGCCAAAAGGTAATTATGGAACCGTGCTCATGGGAATAGCCTTGACAGGGGTGGTAGGCTGGTTAAGCTATGACTTGGGACAGCTCTACAGGACATCTCCATCACCCATGTCTGGGAATGACTTCATACATCTGCAGATCTGAAGCCTAACAGCCCCACTCACCCCAGTGACTGTCATATCTGGGGAAAACTGACTAATGCAGCTTGGACTTGGGTGTGATTGATGTGCCTCAAAATGCCAATTTGTTAATAACAGGATTTGTCATCTGCATAGCGAAATTAGTAGAGAGGCCCACTCAGGAAACTAGAGTCAGGTCAAGAGGCTGCTTGATAAATGTAAAACCAAAACAAAGAAATATAGTTTATCACCGAAAAAGCAAAAAAGGAGCTCTGGTGAGGTAGTGCCTAAGGTGTTTGACTACTAACCAGAAGGCTGGCAGTTCAAACCTTGGAAGGAAGATTGGGCAATCTACACCCGTAGTGACACCACTTCAGAAGCCCAAGGGGGGTGGTGGTATTGGCACACAAACAAACCAGTTTCAGAGCACTCTGTCCTTCGGATATTGCAAAAGACAGATAGTCCTTTGTCTGACTTCCATTTAAGTGCAGTATTAATGTTATGTTAATTTCTAGTAGCTCTCTAACTTCTTCCTGACGGGCCTGTGGATCTGTGCTACATCCATATTTCCTCATAGTCTCTCTGCCTGACCTCGGCATTTGCCTTTATAGTTTGTTCTCTAATGGCCATTCTGGGGGCAGATTGACTCTATTTCCCTCTATCTATACATTGGTAAGGAACTCTAGTGGCGTAATGGTTAAGCACTCAGCTGCTAACCAAATAGCCCATGGTTCAAAACCACCAGCCATTCCATGGGAAAAAAGACCTGACAATCTGCTCCCATAAAGATTACAACCTTGGAAACTCTATGGAGGCAGTTCTGCTCCATCCTATAGGGTTGCTATGAGTTGGAATTGACTCTATGGCACCTAACAACAACATATGTTGGTCAGTGGACAAGGTCACTTAGAAAATGATGTTCCACAAATTCCTGTTTTCAGTGAAGAATCTTAGTTTAGCATCTTCTCATTTAAGAGCTTACATAGTTGAAATGTTATAGAAAACTGAATTTGAAATGTTCTGTCCATTTTATTCAAGGCTAACCCAGTATTTTTTCCTTCTAAAGGTGACAGAGGTTCACCAGGTATGGAAGGTTTCCAAGGCATGGTTGGGCTTAAAGGAAGACCTGGATATCCAGGAAACAAAGGAGAGTCTGGATATTTTGGACTTCCTGGTCCAAAAGGTCTGGCTGGTGAACCAGGTGTTAAAGGTATGCCCACCCCCTTTAAAATTCTTTTTACATGGTTGAGATTCCCTTTCATGGTACTGCTCAGGATGATCTTTGAGAATCCACCATAGCTGGGAAACTTAGATCTACAAACTGGTATTAAAAAAAAAACAAAACTAACTATCCTAGGAATTTCCCAGGGGGTTTGAAATTTCCCTTAGGATGAGTTTGGAGAAACCACAAAATCTGTCAGGGGGTCCTGTTACCAGCATGAGTTTTAAGAATAAGAGGGAAAAACAAAATGAAGAAAGGGGGAGAGAGAGTTTACAGAGTGGTAGACAAAAGGTAGATGCAGGCTTACAAAACTTGTTACAAACTTCTTCTGATCCAGTGGGGCAGCCAGGCTGGAATGGATCCAAGAATATCTGCAAAAACCCGCCCATCTTTTGGGATTCTTTATACCTGAGTCTAGGGGATTGAAGACGGGGTCTACGTGACCAGGACTGGAAGGCTACATGACCACTTTACAGTCTTAGTAGCACCCGAGCCACTCAGGAGGGGGTCCCAGGCAGCACTTTGGGAACCACCTGTATTTGCTTTGATAAAACACTGCTGGGTTAGGGCTTTAATTGCCCGAGACTCTGGTAGCATAGTGCCTGAGGCACTTGACTGCTAACCAGAAGGCTGGTAGTTCAAATCCACCAGCCACTCCTTGGAAGGAAGTTTGGGCAATCCTACTTCTATAGTTATACTGCCTCAGAAACCCAAGGAGGGGTCGCTATGAGTCAGGTCAACTCAATGACACAACAACAACAACAGCTAAAGAACAGGTTACTCTCTAACAGGGAGGAGGTGATCTAAATGTGACAGGGAGGGAGAGGGGAATGGCTAGCAGTTTCTTATAAGCACAGCTAAATGAGATGGAGTTTGAGACCATTTTGGGGGTGTTGCAGTCACTGACCATACTCTATGAGGCTTCATCCCTGCCTCAGTGTGTTAATGGTGTAATAAGGGAATAATCTTATGATAGGAAACTATAAAAATAAAAAATAACAGCAGCATTAAGAACTAAATATAATATGTAATTAAAATATATTCAATCATGACCATACCATAATTAGCAGGAAGAGTTGAAGTTAGGTAAAAACCAGCTAAAAGGTAGATTTTTAAGGAGGATAACTCAGTTTGGCAAAAGACGGACAACATAGTGCAGTTGGAAGAATGTAACATCATGGAAAACAGATTATAATCCATTGAGAAAGAGGCTGGTTTGAGCCCTGTCATGGCTCTTTGTTCACAGTACATTACTAACAAGCAACACTTGCAGTGAATTTTTTTCTGACATCTTTTTTTTCCGAAAGTACCAAAGTGGTCTCTAAATCTTAATTACTAATAACATGTGTTGGTGAGGATGTGGAGAAATTGGAACCATTGTATATTGCTGGTAAGAATGTTAAATGATGCAGCCACTTTGGAAAACAGCCTGGCAGTTCCTCAAAAAGTTAAACATAGAATTATCATAGGATCTAGCAGTTCCACTCCTATTCATATACCCAAAAGAGTTAGAAACAGAGACTCAATCAGATTCTTGTATGCCAGTGTCCATAGCACCATTATTCATAGTAGCCAAAAGGTGGGAACAACCCAAGTGCCTATTAACTGATGAATGAATGTGCTCTTTCCATACAAGTAATATTATTCAGCCATAAAAAGGAATGAAGTATTATATGTGCTACATGTATGAACCTTAAAACATGGTGTCACATATTGTATGATTCCATTTATATGAAGTGTCTAGAATATGCAAATCTATAGTGACAAAAAGTGGATTAGTAGTTGCCTAGAGCTGGTGGCATGGTGGATAAGGCATTTAGCTGATAAGCAGAAGGTCAGCAGTTCAAACCCACTAGCTGCTCTGTGGAAGGAAGATGGAATGATCTACTTCTGTGAAGATTTACAGACTCAGAAACCCAGTGGGGGTTGCTATGAGTTGGAACGGACTTGATGGGAGTGAGTTTGGGTCTTTTTTTAGGGCTGGCTGACAGTTGGTAGGGGAGAATTGAGGAAGGACTGACCGCTCATGGGTATAAGTCTTTCTGGGGAATGAAGAAAGTGTTCTAAAGTTAGTTTATAGTGATGGTGTGAATACACTAAACACCATTCAATCATTCCTTTTAAGTGGGTGAGTCTTATGGTATGTGAACTATATCTCCATAAAGCTGTTTTTTTAAAAAATGATAATTACTCTTCAAAGAGTTAAAACTTTTACAGATTCATAGCAAAATAGAAATTCCCATCTATGGCACTTTTTTCCCAAACTTTCAACTTACATTTGCATTTTCAAATAATCTTTGTGTTCACTTAGAGATTTCAGGCCATTGGTCACCAAAAAATATATGCTCTTTTAAAATTGGATTTGAAATGAAATTACTCTTGACTTCTATACCATATTCTTTTCAGTTCCATTACAACTTCTATTCAAGCCTTCTTAGAATGACATCAACTATGTGGGTGTCTGTTCCTCCACTAGACTATGAACTCTCCCAGGGCAGGAACGGTTCACTTATCAGTCTCCTCCATAGCTAGCATAGCACTAAGCAATAAATGTTTGATCGGTAAAACTATGTTGTTTTCACTCAGCCAAGTTTTACTGACCAGCTTCCCTAACATCCAATGAAGTTAGATTCCTAGAACACCCTCAGCCTGAATATTATTTCGCACCTTATATACATAGCCCTCAGCTTCCCAGCGAAGCTTTCTGAATACCCCTCACTCTCCCTCCAACTTATTAAATCCTCAGAAGCTCACCAGAGAGCTTTCTTGCTACATTTCACCAGCTTATTACTGTTCCCTTGCAACTATCATGGTGGTGATGGTGGTGGCGGTGGTTGTTAGCCACTGTTGAGTTGATTCCAACTCCTGGCAGCTCTGTGTGTACAGAGTAGGAATGCTCCATAGGATTTTCAAGGCTGTGACCTTTTAGAAGTAGATCACCAGACCTTTCTTCCAAGGTGCCTCTGGGCAGGTTCAAACTGCAGATGGTTGAACGTGGAACCATTTGTGCCACCCAGGAGCTCCTTAACTACAGTTGACCTTTCAAGAATTCTGAGGCATGAATAAGCAAAGTGCTTGTAAGAAGACAATGGAACAAGCAGCTTTCCCTGTTTGGAGCCTTTCTGCTTGTGATCAAGTTTGATTTCTGTCTTGTCAGAGTACAAATGAAAAATAATTCACTCACATGAAGTACAAAAAAAAAAAAAAGAAAATCAGTGGAGACCCTGTTGATTTTTGAGAGTCCCGTTATTAGCTATTTGCACACATTCACTACATTCTCCCGACAGGTCCTGTAGGAAGGGAGCAGGTCCTGTCATCCATCATATATTCTGTGCTCCGTGATAGAGCCCCACACAACTATGGGATCATGTCCTCAGTCACCTCCACTTGTTTACAGACAAGAAAGGAAAGAGGGAGGAACAAAGGAAAGAAGGGACAATACGTATTTTCCATCCCCACTTGTCTGTCTCAGAGAACTTCATCTCCTGCTCTTAGGCTTTCCGGTTAGGGGAGAATGAGCCATGCTGACGGCTCAGAGTGTCTCAGGCTCCAGCTTTGAAGATAAGCAGTGAGTCTGGGAGGCTTTATCCATCTGTGCTCTTCCACATAGTCTGGAGGCCAAAAAAATAACTGTATTTTCTTCACTTCAAGGCAACCGTGGGGATCCCGGCCCCCCAGGACCACCTCCCATCATCCTGCCAGGAATGAAAGACATTAAAGGGGAAAAAGGAGATGAAGGACCTATGGGATTGAAAGGATTCCTAGGCTTAAAAGGTGAGGGTCACCATCAGGCTTGGGCTGATCTATAAACTGTCAGCCTTGGAGGGTGGAGGGGGTCTGCCTTCTCCCTCGTCCTGTCTCTCTCTTTCTGAAGGACCAGCAGCATCTCTGCACAGAGATACCCTTGTGTTTGTGCCAGATTTTCTGACATCTTGAGATCTCCAAAATTGAGCTAACAAAATATTCTTTGATGCTTAAGTAATCTCAGTTTCTTGCTTTAAGACATCTTGAGATCTCCAAAACTGAGCTAACAAAATATTCTTTGATGCTTAAGTAATCTCACTTTCCTGCTTTAAGATTTCTAGCCCTTGAGACTGCAAAATTGAAGGCTTTGGGAAGGCAAGGTGCTACATCCTTGCCAGAGCTTTACATACCCAGGGTCTTCTTACAGGTCTTCAGGGAATGCCAGGGGTCCCCGGGCTGTCAGGAATGCCTGGTTTACCTGGTTTACCCAGCCACATCAAAGGAACAAAAGGAGACATCGGCGTACCTGGCTTGCCTGGTTTACCAGGATTCCCTGGTGTGACTGGTCCCCCTGGAATTATAGGATTTCCAGGGTTCACTGGGACTAGGGTAAGTTGGTGTGTTTTGCTTTGCTCAGCTTGTACTTGTGATGTTTGCTGATGAAAGTGCTTTAGTCCAGCATTTATTGGGATAAGAGCAGCCAAGTGACACGTTCTGAGTCAGAGGTCTCAGGCGTTTCTAGGTCCATGGATAAGTATAAGGAAGGGCTGGGCACGCACCAATACCTGGCAGTGATCTGAGTATCCACCATGGCCTTCGGTTGGATGAAGCATGTTGTTTCCCACAATCTGAAATGAAAACCACACATTTTTTCATGGGGGCCTTGGGAGAACAGAATATCATTTTCTAGATACCAGAGCTCTACACTTGAGCACATGTGTCCCCTCAGGATTGAGAGTCCGTAGATGGGCTTGGAGTCAGGGAACCTTGATTCAGATCCCAGTCCATCCATTTAGTCATTTCTTCATTCAACAACTGTAGTTTGAGCACTTGGTATGTGCCAGGCACTATGTTGTAATGGCTGTGATGGTGAACAATGACCCTGGGCAGGCTCTCACCTGTTTCCTCACCTGTAAAATGAAGGTATTAGCTACCTTACACATTTATGGAAAGCACTGCAAATAATATACATAATATATGTAACACCATGGCTCTCCATAAACGAATTTTATGGACCAAGTCTGTCCTCTTTCATTTAAAGGTATTATTCCCTTAGAGTCCTTGGTACTCAGCCAACTCATTCCTGGCAGTCACAGTGGAATCTGGCACATTTTAGGTGGATCAGAAGTTTTAGTAAACCTTTAGCAAAACGTCTTGGCTTGACCATCTGTCTGGCCTGTCCTGTTGTGCACAATGTCTTCAGAATTTTTCAGGAGGTCTCTCTCTTGTCACTCTGAAAAGGGGTAGCTGACCAGATCTCATAACCAGACTTGTGTATAGCCATTCTGATCACTACCATTTAAAATTTTTAAAAGAGATGCTTGTGTCTACCAAAGGGCATGTATGACCATGTTCATAGCAGCTTTGTTCATAATATCCAAAAACTGGGAAAAGGTCTGAATGTCCATCAACAAGAGAAAGGATAAACTGGTGTATTCAAACAATGGAATCCTACCTAAGAGTAAAAACAGTACTGAGAAAATATTACAGCCATAATGACTCTCATAGACTTTATTGAATAAAATAAACCAGAAAAAAAAGTACATATAATGTAATTCCACTTGTATGAAGTTCAAGAGCTGACAAGACTATTTCATAGTAAGAAGTCAGAAGAGTAGCCATCTGGAGCAGGAAGAGTGGCTAATCCTTTGGCAGAATTATTGAGTATTGACTAGGAAGAGGCATGTAGGAGCTTTCTGCAGTGCTGAAAATATTCTCTATCTTTATCTACATTGCACACTAGTAGAAATTCATTAAGCTGGACATTTAACATTAGTGCATTTTACTCTGTGACTGTACCTCAATAAAATAAATTTTAAAAAAGAAAAATAGATCATTATCTAAATACAGATGCAGCCTCTTACATATCCTCCCACTCCTCTTACAAAATGGAGCTGCATTAATAATTTAGAGATTCAAAGTAAGCCCTGCTAAGAAAGAGTAATAGTATCACTGCTGTAATACTGATGTCATTGTGTCATTGCTAAAATGATGACCTGTGAGATGAAGGTGAACCAGAACGTCTACCTTCCCTCAGTGGAAGAAGCCCTTTTAGAGAAAAAAAGCCTATTATCTATGAAGTCACAGAGTGATAGAGACATTATGCCAGTCCCATTATTTGCAACCAGCATAGCTCTTTCTGCAGGTGGAAGTGCACAACCATGTAACTGTTTTATGATATAGAGAGCAAGTTCTAGAATCAGGCAGCCCATATTCCAGTTCCACCACTTACTAACTCAGTGACATTGAGCAAATTATTTAACCTCTCTAAGCCTCAATTAAGGGAGCTCTGGTAGCATAGTGGCTAAGACACTTGCCTGCTAACCAGATGGCTGGCAGTTCAAACCCACCAGCCACTCCTCGGAAGGAAGGTTGGGCAATCCTACTTCCGTAGTGATACTGCCTCGGAAACCCAAGGAGGGGTCGCTATGAGTCGGGTTTGACTCGACGGCACATAACAACAACAACAAAAAGCCTCAATTAAAGGGTGTTCTCGTGGCGTAGTGGTTAAAGCATTTGACTGCTAACCAAAATGTTAGTGGTTTGAACCCACCAGCTGCTCCAAGGAAGAAAGATGGGCCAGTCTGCTTCCATGAAGATTTATAGCCTCGGAAACCCAATGGGGCTTCCTATGAGTAGGAATCAATTCTATGGCAGTGCGTTTGGTTTGGTTTTATGTCATAATAATTAAGCATTGGGCTATTAACTGAAAGGTTGATGGTTTAAACTCACCCAGCAGCTCCACAGGAGAAAAGACCTTGCAGTCTGCTCCCCAAAAAATTACAGTCTAGGAAACCCTGTGGGGCAGTTCTACCCTGTCATATATAGGGTTGCTATAAGTCAGAATTGATTCGTGGGCACACAACAGCAGAAATCTCCATATAGGGAGCCCTGGTGGGACAGTGGTTAAGCACTGGGCTTCTAACTGAAAGTTTGGGAATTTGAACCTGCACAGCAGCTCTGCCAAATAAACAAACTAATCCCACTGCCATCAAGTCAATTCCAACTCACAGTGACCTTATAAGACTGAGTAGAACTCTCTCATAGGATTTCCAAGGCTGCATCTTTATGGAAGCAGACTGTCACATCTTTTTCCCACAGAGCTGCTAGTGGGTTCAAATCACCAAACTCTCCGCAGCTAATCACTTAACCACTGCACCACCAGGGCCTAGTAACTCTACAGAAGAAAAGAACTGGTAAAGATTACAGCCTAGAAAACCCTATGGGGCAGTTCTACTTTGTCACAGGGGTGGCTGTGAGTCAACAATACCTAACAAGCCTTGATTGCCTTATCTGTGAAATGGGAAATAATAGTATCTACTCAAAGGGATGTCATGAAGTTTAAATCAGTTCAACATGTAAAACTCTTAGAATGTGATCAAACCAGTTCACCTGGGTAAGTGCTAGCAGAGAATGTGTGTCATCAAAATCCTTGGCCATAATTATCACCCTGTCACCACTTTCATGATCTTCATCACTGATGTTATTAATAGCAGTTCCTCAGAGATCAAGTTGCCAACCTTGTTTCATTTTTACCATTTTGCAGTTAAATAAGAACAACATGTAACCACCAGCTATTATACTGAGCTGAAAACCTGTAGCGAGTTTCTGCAAAATGACAAGATCACAGATCTTGAGTGCCATTAGCATAGCGGGTTGTTAAGTACGCTAAGCATTCAAACTTGAAAACATTACACACTTACTTCTTTAACTGTCTTCTAAGATGGCTTCATGTTTAAATTTATTTTAGGGTGACAAGGGTGCTCCAGGGAGAGCCGGCCTTTATGGGGAGATTGGACAGAGAGGTGATGTCGGTGAGTGTTGCTCTTAAAATAAAAATAGGGGATCCACAAGTCAGTGCTCTCTGGGCATGTGTGGTGATAGCAGCATGTGTAGATGCTGTTAGTTATTTTCAAATAAATTAGTCTAGGAATGTACCACAATAGAAGCTATACACCTGCTCCTCACTTACCCAGTATTTCTTTATCTGATATTTCTAATTCATGACAATAGTAAAAAAAAAAAAAGCTACTGTCTGACTGTTGTGCACATTAACACCATACATCTGCAAGGCTAGAGTAACATTGGCTGTGATGGTTAAGGTTATGTGTCAGCTTGACTGGGCCATGATTCTCATACTTTGGCAGGTATGTAATGATGTGATTTGGCAGTTATATAATGATATAATCATCCTCAATTTTGTGATCTGATGTAGTCATTCACATTTTTGCATCATGCTGATTTTTGCATAATGACCTGGTCATTGGAACATAAACATATCGATAAGTGAGAAGTACGTGGAAAAACTAATCATTTCTCAACCAGAAGACCTGTTCTCAACCATCCTTTTCACATGCAATAGGTGATATTGGAGACACCATAAATCTACCAGGAAGCCCAGGCCTGAAGGGAGAAAGAGGCATCACTGGAATTACAGGTACATAAGTTATTTTTGATTTCTTCATTTTTAACAAAACACTGATCCCTTATCTATTTCATCATTCATATACTTGGCTTGCCAAATGTATCAATATTTGGTCAACACTCTAGTAATTTTAATAGCCACAACATTAAACTCAACGGTAATCAAGATAGTGCAGGACCCAGAACATTTTGTTCTGCTATAAATAAGTTCACCATGAATTGGTACTAACTCAATAACAACTGAAAACAACAACATAAATAAGTAATTTTATAGTGAATGAGTAGAGATCTTCAAGTCCAAGGGTCAAGAAAGACAAGGGAATTATTAATTAAATTAAATCTGAAGACAACATCAGGAACTTTCTGTCTCTCTCTAAAAGGGAAAATAGCCAGAATCAACACTTGGTGGATGGGAGAAGCTATAGCCCATGAAATGTAACTTAGAAAAACAATAAATAGAGATTTGGCTACTGGAACACATTATAGGACGTGAAGCAAGTAATGTAATAACCTGATCTTCTTTTAAACATTACTGTTTAGTGAGTCTAAAATAAAGGAAAGTAAGAGTTGAGCCAGGAGCTCTGGTAGCATCGTGGCTAAGGCACTTGACTGCTAACCAAAAGGCTGGTGGTTTAA